GTATCTTTTTTGGCATCCAAGTGGAAATTCCCATAAGTGGTTTTATATAAAAAGCTAGAGGTCAGGAGGGAGATCTGGGCTTAGACATGTACAATAGGGAGGAATTGAATAGTGATAGTAGTTGTTACCATTAGTATGGATGTATTAGCTAGCCAACAGGATGGGTCAAGGGATAAACCTAGAAACATATTGACTATTAAGGAGCAGATAGAGAAAAAGTAGATTATGAAAGTGACTCAGAAGGACCAGCTGGTGAAGTCAGAGTATAACCTTATGAGAGTGGTCCACCAGAGTCAGAGGGGTTCAAAGAGCCTGGGTTACAGAGGTAATTGCTGCAAGGTAGTCAAGTAAATTAAGGACTGAAAAGTTGAAAGAGTGATGATACACACTGTCATCCCAAATAGAATAAATCTGAGAGTGAAGGGGCTGTGATGGTTGTTTTATGTGTCAATTTGACTGGACCATGCAGTGCCCAGATATTTGGCTAAACATTATTTCTGCATGTGTCTGTGAGGGTGTTTCTAGATGAAATTAGCATTTGAATCATTAGACTGAATAAAGCAGATTGCCTTCACCAGTGGGGGTGGGCATCATCCAATCAGTTGAATCTGAATAGAAAAAAAGGCAGAGAAAGGGGGAATTCACTGTTTCTCCGCCTGACTACTTGAGTGGGAATTTTGGTTTCTCCAGCTCTCAGAGTGTGATTTACACAATTGGCACTCCTGGTTCCCAGGCCTTTGGACTTGGATTGGAATTCACACCATCAATTCTCTTGGTTCTCAGGCCTTCGGACTTGGAGTGGAACTACACAGCCAACTTTCCTGGGTCTCCAGCTTGCAGACAGCAGGTCTTCTCAGCCCCTATCATCATGGAGTTAAATCCTTATAATAAATCCCTGCCTATATCATTCATCTCTATATCTATATCACCTCTATCTATTTATCTATCTGTCATCCATCTATCTATTTTATTGATCTGTCTACACATTTTGCTGGTTCTGTTTCTCTGGAGAGCCCTGACTAATTCAAGAGTTATTATTGATAATTATGACAGGACCACAAATATCAACCAGACGTTCTCCAGGCAAACCAGCATACTATGGTCATACTACAGTTGGAAGAATTATTTCTATGAAATAGTTGGAGTGGTAGCTGTACATGGTAAGAGTAAAAGAGTGAAGTGAATGATAAGAAATCAAAGTACCTGTGAACAGAATATTTTTTTGAACTAGCTTCTATTTAAAGGGGAGAGACTGGGTGGGAGTTAGAGAGGGTTAGGGGGTTAAAAGAAAATGTTTTACCTGGCAGAGGCTTGAGTGACCCTGTATGTAAAAAAAGAACATGCCAACGAAGAGGGAGAAGTCAGAGAATTTACCACAAGAGAGAATACATGATTGAGCCACTGTGATATGGGAGTTGGAGGATATGGCAGGATTTGCTTTCGAAAGGAGGATAGAGTATCTTTTCTAGAAAGACAGGTGAAAAAATAAATAGAAAGCAAATATAGCAAATGTGTGGGTGCGTGAGTGTGAGGTTGGCCAAGTTTCCACCTGATGGTCTTTGTTTTTTTTTCGGTAAAGCATGCCAGGAGGCCTGATGCTGAGAGTGGAGGTTAAGATTACAGAATAGGGAGCGCAGCAGCCACCGGTAAGGCTATGTTGTTATTCCGGAGAGTGAGAGACAAACTGATTAGGAGCACCACAGGATTTTCAGGCAATATTATGGGCCAACCGGACACTGTTAACTTGCAGGGACATGGACCTACAGTTTCACGTTTTATGCTCCCCCACCCATTTTAAGTAGTAAGGATTGTGGCATTGGTACAACATATTTATGCACAAAGTTGTGATTCAAGTTCTGAATTATTGTCCCCATGGGAAATGGGGACAGAAGGATGGCTGACTGATGGGAAAGAATGAGGAAGTCAATAAACATCAGGTCTCACTGAAGTTAGGAAACAAAGATGTTATTAGTAGAAACACAATAGCTAGAAGGATTGGAAGCTGTGCGGAGAGAGTGGACGTAGAACTTTAAGATTTCATAGGTGTGTTAGCTCTGGGTGATGGTCAAGTCCCGGCTGGGGCCATGGGTGCATGTCTGCGGTGGAGATGAGATATGTTCTGGAGCTGATGTTGGCTAAGTCAGCCACATGGATGTAGAAATCACTAAGAGCTATGATACAACTTAGAGCAGAGAGAGGAAAACCTTAAACCAAATAGCGGTGAGATGACCGATGTAAACAAAAATATGGGGATGATGTGGGTGATCTAGCTAGACATTTTTGCAAGAAATTAGAGAAGCCAAGGTTTGGTGTGGCCCTGTGGACTTGAAACTGCACGTGCTGAAGTGTAATTCTTCAGTGGCTTCTAGGTGTGTGGTATCATCAGACAGAGATTTTCACCCAGACACTGAGGTTGAGGGATCATTCTGTGAAGAGGAGAGTGGAAGGGTTTGTAAAAATAAGAGGAGCGGTCATGAGAAAGGAAGAAAGGGACCCGCTGGGCCATACAATAACTAAGACAACAGTATAACTGAGAGGTCAGTCTGCATTTTCGGAGGTGGGCAAGGAAAGAGGCATTCATTACTAAAGCTTCTACCTTGTTATATCCTTCTGAGCCCTGGAAATGTATGTGTAGAGCATGGGCTGTAAACTCCAAGACAGCAGAAACTGTAGTGTTTGGTATTGAAGGAAGGAATGAGTGCATCCTGGGAGTGAGACAGGTTGGGGCAATGGTTAAGAGCATGAGCTCTTAAATCAGAGAGCTCTGAGTCGGGATCCTGGCTGGGGAATCTTGGGCAAGTTGTTTAACTTCTTTAAATTGCGACTTCCTCATCTATACATTATAGGTTATGTTAGTAACTATACTGCAGAATTTCTGGAAGCACCCGGCACCTGGGCGGCACCAAGTAAATGGCAACTGTTGCTGCCACGACTGCTTTTAACTGTTTTATGTGTTGGGATGATATCTGGTTGGACAGTAATTTGTAGCTAGAGCTCCGAGGTGTTTTGTTTTTGTTTTTTTGGTTTTTTGGTTTTGTTTTAACCAGGCTTTTAACTCCTTAGAAAGAGAGAATTCTTCCTTGTTTTTACATAAAAACTGCAACACGTCTACCCAGTTACTTTACACAGTGCTTTTTTGGTTATCAATAGTTTTTGGTAAACCTTGGACACACTGAGCAGAACTACAAGGAGGCTCTTTTCTATTCTGTGAATAGTACAAATATTTTACCTGTTTCAAATCTACTCTTATCCTGGAAAAAGGCAAAATAATGCAGGAGTGTGTGGTTGTGGTTTCCAGTTCGTTTGTACCTTTCCTGAATTTTCTTTGATTTTGTGAACTCTTGAGCTCTAATGACCATTACTGTCTACAGTATTCATTTTTTCCCAGGAAAGTACACATGAATTATGAACAAGAAATCTTTTTTTTAAGATTTTATTTATTTATTTGAGAGAGAGACAGCACAGTGGGGTGGAGGGGGAGAGGGAGAGGGAGAAGCAGAGTCCATGCCGAGCAGGGAGCCTGATGTGGGGCTTGATCCCAGGACACTTGAGATCAGGACCTGAGCCTAAGGCAGATGCTTAACTGACTGAGCCACCCAGGCGCCCCATGAATAAGAAATTTTAACACAAAATTATTTTAAGTTATTTAATTAATAGGAAATATTATACTGTATCATATGTGCCCGTGGAAAATTTGGGTGTGATCTGTATCAGCAAACCCACTTATCTTACCTAATCTGCCATTTTATTTCCCTGCGTTTACATTGAGATCTGTGTTTTAGTTGCATCTTGGCTTTTTTTTTTCCCCCCAATTGACTCAAATTCCTTCTCTATTAGCCCTGAAAACATCTTTGTTGGGGATAAATAGCACATTCCTTCTCCAAAACTCACTCTACTACCCTTAGAATGTACATGACTCATGGAAAAGCTGGGACAATCACTTCCAATCCTTTTACACTGATTCTGGTCCAGCCTACAGTTTCCTCATGCTCTGATCCTTTTGCTTTTTTTGCTTTAAAAATCCCCAGACTGCAAAATAGCTCCCACTCACTAAAACAACTTTCCTTGCAAGCCATCAAAATCCACTCTGATCTTCCCAACTGGGGGAGGTGACTTGATTCCTTTCAATGTTGGAAACAACCCCAGTGTCATTAGCTCTCCCATTTCCCCCATCCACCAGTGAACTCTGGAGCCCTTTCAAGATTTTGCTCCAACGCTCAAGATCAAGTCCAACCTCCAGTGGCAGATCCTTGATTTAAGCTGTGGGGTTTTCTGAAGAATTTAAGTATTCGACACGAATATTTTAAAGGAAAACTTGAGACATTTTTTTCAGCAGAGCTATGGCTGTGAATCTCTCATGTCTGCTCTTCTGGGTCCGTTTGTGCTACTGGACATGGACGCTTCCTGAAAGCCCACACAGTGCAGGGGGTCTGGACACGATGGCATGACAATGTTGCTTTGATGCTGAAGCTGGCCAAGGGGTCACTGGTTGGCTTACCCAGCAGGAGATTTTGCAAAAATTACCTTGATGAGAGTAAAGAAAAAAATTCCCATTTTTTTCCTCCCCTGGAAGCTGTAGTAAAAATGGATCAATAAATAATTTTGATTATTTTAATTAATTTTGATTAATTCATCCTAAAGAGAAAGGTAAGGTCATAGGTAGGGGAAGTTGCTGAAACTCTACTGAAGCAAATGCTGATATTGTTCTCAAGGTCAAAGACTAAAAACCAGTAAAGTTAAATTTGGCTTGTCTCTCCTATGGCATGTGTTGAGAGCAGAGATTCAGGGAAGTTTAATCTCTTTTATACACAGATTGAGTTATGTAGCCATGAGTTTATGCAATACTAACTAGCTTTAATCCAATGAGAAATAACTTGATAGAATAAGACTATAATGCCTGGAACAACCAGAAAACCTGAAAAAAAAATGTTTATGCTATGTTGTAGGTCTAAAGAACACTGTAGTATTAAGCAGAATAAGATAAAAAAAAATTTTTTTACCTCTTTTCTTTCTGCTGCTCAAGTTGCTACTCAGCATCCTCTCAGTCATAAATGCTGAATAATCTGTGAGGGAATTAGAATCTAAATCAGGCTTATGTAACTGTACCTGTAAGTGCTAAACTTATTTGGAACTAAATGCAATTGAGGATTACGGGTTTGTTTTTTTAAAAATCTTTTTCTTGATTGAAAGATAAACTCATACACACATATCCACACACACATATATTCCTAAATTGATGATTAGATAAATATTTAGATCTGTAATTATTAGATTGTTGTGTATGAACCAAGAAATAAGAGAAATTTAAAGCACTGAAGTAGTTTTAATGAAAGCATAATATTTTATATATATTATTTCTTTTTAAAAAATGTCTCATAAAGGAAGGGAAAGCGGAGTGATGAAGCATACTCCTCTGAGGGTATTGGGGCACAGTTTTATCTGAAAAGCTCATGTGAATTTTATACTTTACTGTGTATTTATAGCTGTCTTAGACTTACTAAATGTATAATGTCTTTTCCTTTAAAGATTTATTTATTTATTTGAGAGAGAGAGAGAACAGGAAGAGGGGCAGAGGGAGAAGGAGAGAATCCTCAAGCACATTCCCACTGAGTGTGGAGCCTAATGCAGGGCTCGATCCCAGGACCCTGAGATCATGACCTAGCCAAAATCAAGAGCTGGCTGCTTAACTGACTGAGCCACCCAGGAGCTCCATAATGTCTTATACTTACAATAACCTTTTAAGAGGAAGAAAAAATAATGCCAGTTTTTCCTCACCAAATCTTTGAATAACATGAATTTTCCAGAAAGATACGTTCGGTATCTATCCTATAGTCTTGTGTACCACTGGGCACACTGGAGTGTTGCCCTAATTCAAAGGATCAAAGCTCTGGCTGAACAGTGACATCACAAGGGTACATTTTTTCATAATGCCAATGCCCATGCCTCCCTGAAGTCCAATGAAGTCTGCATCTCTAGGAAAGATTCTTAGCATTGATATTTTTAAAAATCTCCCCGGGTGAATCTAGCGGGTACCCAAGGGTGAGAACAACTGCTGTAGCTGGAGACTTCCTCCAGTTTGAGGACCATGGATGAGGTTATATTAGATACTATCTATCATTATACCTGAAGACAGGTATCACATCATACCTCTCTTTGAACTTGTTTCCCTTATCACTAGGACTGTAGGATAGCTGTTGAGTACCATAGTGAACTGATTGCAGGGAAGTGGAAACTCGGTCTACAGTGAAACACTACACATTATACCTAGTGTATAGCCCAGTGGGATCCTGAAGATCAGCCTCCAAGCCACTGATTCTATAGCAGAGAAGCAGAACTACTCATTCTAAACAATTTGGGCATTGTTTTCACTCCCCCTGCCCCTGCCCGCCACTGACGGTAACTTCCTCCATCTAAAGAAAATTTTAATTTGATAAATTCCAAAGTGTTGATTTTTGGAAGTATTTAATAATTATAATTTTATCAGTTTGACTTTTTAGAACCCCACTAATTTCTCCTACAATATTTTCAGTATTTGCTGAAGGATGACATCCATCCCCCTTGCCTTAATCATGTGCCAGATTACTCGTAAACCTGGACCATATGCCACTGCAATTTGCTGATGGGCCCAAGCTGTTTTGGTAGATAAAAAATCCAAGGGGATTAGATGGCTCAAACCTCACTGTGAACAGAGCAACGGCAGCAGGGCAGCTACATGCTCACTTCTCTCTCCTTGTCCATGTATTACCTAGATTCTCTTCCTTCAAGTCACTGGTGACCCCAAAACTGGAGATCACATCAGTGCCTGCAAAAGTGTATTTCACTCGAATGAGGCTTTCTGTAGACACTCAGACAGAAACCAAGTTTCAGAGACATGGGTCACGCAAGCAATGGGATAGAAATAATGATGTGCAAAAGTCAGAAATGTTTCCCCAGTTTTGGCTTTAGGATGGTCCCGGCAGGGTAAACACTCTAAATTGATGAATGACATAAAGCGTCTTTCTCCTTTATTCAACTCCTGTTTTCTGCTCAGCACAGTTAATGGTGATATTCTCTGTCATCAATATTTGAATGACTACAAGTTTGTCTGCTTATAATAACGTGAACCTCTATGATTTCACTTCAGAAACTTGATGACTCTTGAAATCAGAATTGGATGGTTGATTTTTTTCTTCTTTTTGAGAGAGAGAGAGTGTGTGTGTGTGAGTGGGGGTGGGGGCAGAGGGAGAGGAAGGGAGAGAATGAGAAACTTTTTTTTTTTTTAAGGTTTTATTTATTTACTTGAGAGAGAGCGCACGAGCAAGAGAGCATGGGCAGGGAGAGCAGCAGAGGGAGAGGGAGAAGCAGACTCCCCACTGAGCAGGGAGCCTGATGTGGGGCTTGATCTCAGGACCCTGGGATCATGACCTGAGCCGAAGGCAGGTGCTTAACTGACTGAGCCACCCAGGCACACTGGAAGAGAGAGAATCTTGAGCGCTGGGTCTCACAACTCTGAGATCATGACCTGAGCTGAAATCAAGAGTTGGATGCTAAGCCAACTGAGCCACCCACATGCCCCAGTCTTACCCATTTCAATGAGGGTTTTTCTCATTCATCTGACATGTATTGTCTGGAGGGAATTTAGGTTTCTCGTTTTTTCCAAATCATCACTTTATCTGCAATGTTTCTATCTTCTTCAGTTAAGAAAGAGCCTGTAACAGAGAGAGAAGCAACACCATTGAGGAAAGAACAATTTTATTTCTTATTATTTCACACCGTCTTTGGTGGTCTCATTCTCTCCTGTTCTATATAAGCTTCGTCCATGTGGTGCATGATATATTTATCCATGCTTTGAGTTCATATCATCCCAATTCAGGGACCTCACAGGAATGACAATGTTTCCATAAGCCTCTGGATGAAAAAATCTAGGGATGGTGGGGCCATGTATATATATCTGAACTGGTGCTCAGGACCATTGGATTGATATCATGAGTAGTCAGGCTAGGGTCACATGCCTTTCTTTGTACCCAGGTTCCAGGGGATGGCTTATCATCTGGTCTCTCCCTGTCTTTTCCACACTGATATGGAAGGCAAGGTGGTATGGATAAATGTATGCATAATTAATGTGAGTGCCGTGAGCTTAGGATTTGAACTCTCCTAGTGAGTTCTGGAATTCTGAAAGGTAGGGAAACATATTTTTTAAATGATTACGCTTCTACTGCTGAACTCTGTCCCTGAGATGGCTTTAAAAAGTGAATACATTTCTGAAAATATTTTTTTTTCTGTTCTGAGACCAGTTATATCATTAAACCCACACACAAAAATCTCTGCCACATGGAAAATATGTAAGGTAGATTTATTTATAGTGATTAGAAAACAAAACAACAGAACTTATGATGAGTGATCTGGGTTATAAGAAATGTCTTTCAGCTATCAACTTAAAAGATTTCAAAGTCCCTTTTTTGTCAAAGGAAAGCTTAGTATTAACAAACTGCTTAAAGATGTATTTATTAGGTTCTGATAGTTAAATAAATAACCATTTAAAAATCTTAAAATCTTCAAACATCTTAAGTAATTTTTATAAACAGAGTACAAGATGTAGGAAGTGTGAAATCAAAAATGTTTTCACTCATTAGAGATGACCTTATATAGTTTCACCACTTATGAGTTATCAGGACATCTGTAACTTGTGAAAATGATTTTCGTATTTTATTCCCAAATATTATGTATTTTCCCTTATTTTTGGAAACATGTAAACATACAAATGCACATATTGAGGGATATATCTTTCATACTTAGTTATACCAAGTTGTTAAAATATAAATTAAAAAAATCTATTTAGTAAGACATTCCAACAAGACATAACTAAGTATACTACCGAAATTTTGTGTCCTTGCTCCTTCACAGAAAGGGTCACCTATCCAGAGGCATAACAAACTGATGCTTTGGGATATAGAGAAACATCAATAAAGTCAACTACATTTTTCACTTGTGTACTGAAGGTACAGCAGGGGAAGCATCACATTTTTTTTAATTATTGAAAAAAGAAAAGAGTGAATGGAAGATCAATGTGCTGGTTGAAGGGTCAAGCAGATAGAGAAATGGAAATCTGTTTCCAAATCTATTTCCATACAATCATTTTAAAGAAAGGCATGAGAGGCAGGATTTCAAACAGATAGGTTAGAAAACCCAGGCTGTTTTTTTAGTATGACTATGCCATTTGGCATCTGTGTTGGGTGCCTCATAGCTATCTGGGCCGCTTCTTCCTCCACACATTGATGCAGCGGCCGGTGGTTGTAGCTGGAACACGACAGGCTCGCCTCAGCTGCACAGCCACATCTGGGCCTCCATGGAGTAGGGGAGGCTGAAATTAAGTCAGCCTGTGCTAATGCTATGGCGACAAGTGAAACAAGGAAGCAGGAAGGGGATGTCGAGGGCAGGCTGCAATTTTTTTTAAAAGATTTTATTTATTTATTTATTTGTCAGTGAAAGAGAAAGAGAGAGGGCCCAAGCGGGGGTTGGGGGGGAGCTGCAGGCAGAGGGAGAAGGAGAAGCAGGCTCCCTATTGAGCACGGAGCCCAATGTGGGACTTGATCCCAGGACCCCGGGATCATGACCTGAGCCGAAGGCAGATGCTTAACCGACTGAGCCAACCAGGCATCCCTGCAATTTTTAATAAGGTGGTCAATGAAGACCTCACAGGGAGGAGGGTATTGCAACAAAGGCTTAAATAGAGTGAGAGAGTGAGCCTTCTGGGCACAGGAAACAGAATGCAGAAGCTCCAAGGCAGCAGCATGGCTGGAATGTTCACCTGGACCAAGGAAACCAGTGTTCTTCGACAGAAGCCAGAGACGCAGAAAAACAGAAGAAGAGAGGAGAGGTAGTGATGCCAGGATGTAGAGAGCCTCATAGGCCTCTCCAAAGAGGTGTGCTCTCTGATGGGCTGGGAGCTGAATGGGAAGTTTTGGGAGAAGGACAGACATGATGTGGCTGGTGCTGAAACTAGACCGCAGAGTGTGGGCAAGTGTGGAAGCAGAGACATCTGTTAGAAAACTATTATAATAATTCAGTCAAGAGGTAATAGCTTTGTAAAAGGTGGAAGCAATAGATGTGGAAGATGAGGTAAGGTTCTGTATGTATTTAGAAGGTAGAACCAAAAGAATTTGCTAACAGGCAAGATATGAGATATGAGGAGAGAAATGAAGGATAATTTCAAAGTTTTAATTGAAACACAGGTGGGAAAACGTTGCTCTTAACTGAAGTTGGGAAGACTTTGACAGTTGTGAGGTTTGGGAAGGGGGTCAGGTTTCGGATACAAGTTTGAAATGCCTATTAGACATCCAAATGGAAATAAAAATTAGGCAGGAGGGTATAAGGAGAGCACCTGGGATGAATTATAAATTCGGGAGTCATCATCATAGAGATGATATTCAAAGTCACAAAACCGGATCAGTCACCAAGGTGGTGTATGCAGGGAGAAACGAGAGGAGGCCTAAGGACTGAGCTCTGGGTCACTCTAATGTACAGAAGTTGGGGAGCTAATGAGAAACTTGCAAGGGAGCTAGGGAAGGAGTGGACATTGAGGTACAGGGCAACTGGGAGAGTGTGAATTCTTGGCAGCCAGATGCAGAAAGAGGTTGAATAGTGTCAAACCCTGAAGGGAGGTGTGTGGGGTGAGGATTTAGAATTAAGCATGGGATTTAGCAAAGCAGAGGTCACTTGCGACACTGCAGACCCGTTTCAGTATAGTGGTGGGGCAAAAATCAGAGTGAGTTCAAGAGAAAGAAAGAAGAAACTTAAGAACCGTGAATACTGTGAATGCAAACAACTTCTAAAAGGGAGACCAGAGTGGACTTGGAGCTGGAGTCTGTGAGGTCAAGAGAAGGATTCTTTGGTACCGTCCGAGAGATGATCGCATGCATACAAACTGTTAGAAACTATTTGGTGGAGAGGGAAGATTGGACAAAGAACTGCAGGAGTTCTGGTCTTGAGTAAGCAAGGGGTCACGTGACCCCAGAGGCCAAGGGACCTTGGAGAGCAGCACAGTTTGTGCAAGATGACAGGCTGACAGGAAGCTCAGGAGACTATACGCGCAAGGAGGCAGAGAGGTGGCTAGGTGTGGTGATGCAAGCCGTGGGGGCTGCTTTTTCATGGTTTCTCTTTCCCTGTTAAATAGGAAGCAAGGTCAACAGCTGAAGTGAAGGTGGGAGTGGAAGTGTTGGGCATATGAGGTTAGAGAAGGGGGTTCTAAATGGTCCTCTAGGTGGGGAAGCGAAAGGATTAGGGAAACAGATGTGGTTTCTGAGCAACATTGGGGGCCCGGTTAACAGTGGTGCAAGTACATTTAAAGTTGTGTGCTCTTCCCAGCCTCGTTCAGCTGCGTGGAGGAGCAGAGCAATCAGAGAGTTGAACTTAACCAGGATGGGGTTTTGTCCGCCCAATATGCTAAAATGGGAGATGTACGGGGGTACCGAGGGTGTACGTACACAAGGGAGGATTTTCGTGATAGAAATGGTTTAATGCTAGAGAGACTCATGGTTTCTTTCAAAAAAATTCTCTCCTATGACCTCAGCCTTTCTCCTATAGGTACCACCTCTTCTTCATTGAACTTTGGAATTCCAGAATCATTTTGTATTTTCTTTCCTCTCACTGTCCAATTACGCCAACCACTAGGCA